CTGAAAAAAAAATATATATATATTCAAGGGAAAGGGAAAGAGCCACATACTAAAAATAGAAAGTGGAGAGGCTAAAAATCAGTTCAGATGCAAGGGGACAAAAAAGATCAGGAACATTAAATATCCATGATCTCTACACAACTGTATAATAATTATTTACTGTGTATCAACTGTGGATTAAAAAGCAAGGGAAAAAAAAAAAAAAAGAAAAAAAAAGGAATGCTGCCAAGCTGTAGTTACTGCCCTCAGTGAGGACAGTTTTTTTCTTTAGATTGTAAAAGTCTGCTTGCGTGAGAAAATGGTACTGCCTGATGGGAACTAGTTTGAGTGGAAAAGTGAGATAACAGAAGAAAAAAAAAGCCTGTAGAGGCCCTCTGTGCATCCAAGGCATCCAGAACTACAAATGCTTTCAGACCCTGATCCTTTATCACTGAAACCTTGTGTGATCGTTCGGTCTCCAAGCAGCCTGTTCTTGCTAGTTTGAGTTTGAAAAATGAAACAAGTGGCTACATGGTTGTGTCTGACAAAACTTGTACAGAAGCTTGGCAGGTTCACACAGATTTCAGCAATTCCTAATTAGAAAAATGGAAGAAACTGATTTCCCATGACACAGCAAGCCACAACCATTGAAGTCAGTACAATTTAATTTCCCTTAGTCTGCGAGATCTCCTGGAATTTCAAAGAGAATCACCCTGAATAGCTGCTGCCTTTTTTTTCTCTCGGCACTGTGTTTGGGATCAGCTTCTCTAAGCTGCGCCTAACAAATATTGTTGAAACAGTAATATATTGTAATTACTACATAGAGATAGTATATTAATAATATGTAGTAGTAGTAATAAAATACACACAGAGCTATCTTCATTTTGAGCACTGCTGTCCTCCTGCTGCTTCTTAATGCAAAGAAGGTTGTACGCATTTCTGGCAGCTCTGACAAAGCCTTCTGCTGCCATGTTCTGTCATCAGCTGTCCTCAGTCAGAAAATGTTCTGTACTATGCAGTTAACCCCAGCAAAAGGTGTTATCTACCGTATTAAACACAGGTACAGAAATATCAGAGCTCAACATTTTTTATGAACTAAGATGAAATAAAATTACAGACTTAATTTGAAGATATTTCAGCTTCTAATCTCTGGGATCTGAGTCTCTGAGACCTCCAGACTCTAGCCTTTGTCTAATCCAGGAGTACTTCTCCTGATCGCTACAAATACCAGCACAGTTTAAGAATGTCAGCAAACATGTCCTACTAAATATTTTCCTCTGTTTTCCCCTTCTTGATGAATAGCAAAATCTACTTTAATACACCAGTTTTCATTAACAGGCTTTACAGATACCAGCAGGATTTATAAAAGCAGCACCGTAATCATCAGTAAAGCTCATACAGATGTATTTCTGTGTCCATGAAGCAGCTGTTTGTTGAATTTAGGATAATGAAGCCTTCCTTGACATACAGACTGGGAACAACAGCGTATTGGCATGCCCAATGTGTATCAACAGCTCTTGTTATGTTTCATAGCTTCAAGGTTTATCAGACCATTTCTCTGCATTGCCCTTAATAATGTTTGAGCCACAGATTTTTGTAAAGAAAACAGATGGCACACACACTGGAGAGTATGACAAATCCCCAGCTTCCAGTGTAGACTTGGTCTGTGTCCACTAAAACTGTAATCAAACAGCGAATAAAGTAAATAACAAGTGGAGTTTGTCCAAAAATAGCTCTAAATGTTTTCAGTGTAAGAGATGTTAATGATAGATATGTCATCCCCTCCTTGGTTTACACAGCTCTACAAGGAGATTCTAGTCCCTATCAGTTTTCTCACTAAGAAGTGAAAGTTTTTCGTAAGCTGGGTGACCTTCACTGCTAACCAACAGGAACTGTTCTGCTTATATAGTTGCATACAGGGGTACATGGTTTGAAGGTTATAAGCAAGTTCAAAGTTAGAAAAGCTAACTCTGCAGGAGGTGACTTTGTTCCGAATAGGCTCCTTCTGCATTTATTCTTGTCCTACTTATTTTGTGGATAAGAAATTAAAGGGCTTCACTTAGGTGTTTGTTTGTGAAAATCTGACTTCGTTGTCATTTTTATTCCATCCAAGTTTGATCTGAGCCATGGATGATGTCTAGTCTTACCAGAACCAGACTTCACCTACATTTACTGTTTTGCTTTCTGAAGCTGGCTTTGTTTGCTAACTGATTCAGTACGTAATAGCTTCAGTCCTTGAAAGCCTTCTCAACCACTTTATTCAAAGTTCTTTAAGATATGAAGTCAGGGCTTTCAGTAGGATTTATTTGTTTTTACTAACATGAAGGATTAAGGAATATAAGATTTTTGTGACATATCAGGTCTATTTTATGAGCAGAGGAAAAAACACAGCATTTTACTGATTATTTGGAGATAGGAGTAGAATATAGATCTGATAAAGATCTGTAATTTTTTACTGCTAAGTACTAGAAGACTATTCCTGAACAAAACAAGATTATTTAGTCCTAATCACAGCATTCAACTTAACTGCTAAAAGTTGATTTGAGGGCAAGGAAATTTTCTAAATATAACAAATTATTTCAGACAATCATCTAGGAATAAATTCAGGGATGGAAAAAAGCTGGACTATCTGAACTTTTATTTCCATTTGTAATTGTAAATATTTTAATGTGTGATTGTATTCCCTGCCTAACTTGGAAATTTACTTGTGCTTTTAACCTGTAAAGTTTTGGATTACTGCACGCTTTGTAAGCAAACAAAACCATCTCTAGAGTAATGATGTTATAACCAGAGAGCCCAGTTTTGATCTTAATGTTTGGCTTCTCCTGGCCCATTTTAACTTCATCTGACAGATACATAACAAATACTCATTTTCTACTAGCCAGTTTATCCATTGCTTTTTCAAGAAATGCTTTTTTCACCCTTTGTCTGCACTTTGTAAAATATTTTTAGTCCATCACAATTCTTCTGAAGGTATTGCAAATGATCAAATAGAGCCAGACAATGAGTCCTATTCATTCATGCTGCATCTCTGATAACAAACTAGAGGTTAAGAATTTTCCATGGTAACTAGAATGGCTTAAAGGTCTTCTGACAATAACATGATGGATTCCAATTTTAGTCATTCAGGAATAAATCTATTACTTTAAGCAAAGTTACTGCAAAGACACCCATTCTTCAACTACTTACATCAGGTCAGCAGGCCAGTGTGCTACTGAGGGGCTGTAATAGCCCTGACTTCAGAACGAAAAATAGTCTTCTGGCTTGGATATCAGGTAAAAATGTCCATTTCCAAGAAAAAGCTGGCAGACGCTTTCCAGTGTCTGCATTTGGTAGGGGAGGGTCCAGAGAAAGGAGAGGTTTGCTTGGGATGAAGACCTAGAGCTGTAGATAAAGATATATATTTTGGGGAAATTTGTGTAATTTATACAAATGTTCACTGTTGTTTTGATCACTTTCAAATGACTAAATTCATATGAAGCATTATGTTTTCTTATATAGCTGTTTATTTGCTGGATCGGACTGTTGTGAGAATGTGGGGTAATTGTTCATCACAAAAATATTTATTGTCCTTCCTGCCATCTTACAGCTGGGTGTGCTTATACAGGGTGATAACTGATTTTTAAAAATGTACAAAATTTCTGCGCTTTTAGACAAGAGCTGCAACTTAAAAAAAAAACATTCAGCTACACTGCAGTGTCAAGTGTAAACACGGATCGATTGACGTGTCAGTCATGACATTACCCAAAACCTCTCTGGATGGTTACCTTTGCATAAGTTACTGCAAAAAGGGAAAATAAGTGGGACTGAAGAAATTACTATCCTCAAAGGGAGGGAAATGTGGACACAACATCTGTTATAGAATGGCATTCTATTTATTCCTGGTGGTACGGTAAACCTAATTAAATAGTTACATTTTAAAATCTTTATGAGAATCTTAATTATTAATGTCATGAACAGGCTGAAAAGAAATGTAGGTTAGGTGTGGGGAGATTTTGGCTCTGTAAAGGCCTTACTTAAAAGCAATTTTTTTTGCATGACTGAGCACATGTGCACACAGACTAGATAGTCACACTTTACAATGAAGTTACACTTATAAATAATTTATAAAGGTTGGTAAACACTGTAGGCTCTTACAGAATCCACAAAGTCTATATTTTTGTTATAACTATGAATAACACCCTCAAGTAAAGTGCAACCAAGTATAATTTATGAAAGTCGTATCCATAGTATTGTTTATGATGTATATTAATCATTTATTAATCCTTTATGAACTATTTATAAATGCAATCTTAAAGAAAATCATGGCTGACTAGTTACTCCATAGCACTAGCTGCATTGGAGTCAAAGGTTGCAGGCCTTTTTGCCCCTTGTTTTTAACAAGCTAAGCAGAGTTTAGACAAGGTAACACTCACCAGCTGCTTCCTTACAGACTCCTAGGAAGTTAGAAATCTGAAAAAGGTGTTACAAAGAGGCTACACTTGCAAGGAAATGTACAGAATCCTTTTTTTACATCTCCAATACTTCTGAAGAGCTACCACAGGTCTGCTTCACAGGGCCCATGAGACAAAACTCCTTGCAAATGACCCCAACATATTAAAGTCTACCAAGTCCTGGTTCCTGATGATTCTTGTATAGCTTATATATAGACCACCAAAATGTAGTCTGTATTTCTCAGAACCAAGCAGAGGAGGGTTGCTGTGTAAATGTGCATGTCCATCAGTCCTTATGGTTTCTGCAGGAATATGGGCAATGTAACAAATGACTGCTATAGTCTAGGCTACCATAATCTCCAGGAACAGATCCTGGTTTGCAGGGTTATTCTTCTGCTCCAAAGCAATTCTGTCTGCCAAGGTACAGCTACTTGTGCTTGCTGTAGGCAAGCTCCACTAACTTCCATGTGCCAATGCAGTTTTCTCACTGCTCTTTGCTTCTTTACACATCCTGTGATATCTCTTGCTGAGGCATTTGATAGCGGAGTACCATCCCAGAGCATTAATTCTTCACTTGTTCTTTTGCAGGAAACAGATCTCATTCTGACCTTTAATATCTCAATGCATCGTTCTTGGTGGATGGAGAATGGGCCGGGCTGCACCGTGACCTCAGTAACCCCAGCCCCAGACTGGGCACCAGAGGATCATCGTTATATCACTGTCTCGGGGTGTTTTCTTGAATATCAGTACATAGAAGTGGCTCACAGTTCTCTTCAGATCTTCCTTGCAGTAAGTGTTTACTGATAGTTTCAGTTCCACCACCTTTTCTAGATTTCTTCTTGAAGAATGCCATTACAAGTATAGCAGAGTATTGTGGTTTTCATTCACAAACCCTGGCTATAAGTGTTTTAGTTTTGTTACGAAACTCTGTTGTCTTGCAGCTAGTTTGAGAGACCTGTACACAAAAAGCTCCAACACACATGTTTCCTGCCATGAGAACTGCTGACATGGCACACTGGTCTCCTGACCTCGATTTTGAACATTGATCATGCCACAAATCATTTATAGCAGGTTATATTCAAATTACACTATAGGATATAAGTTGTGACATAATAAGTTACAGCTATTGCTGTGAAAGCCAAATTGAATGTAAAAGGAAAGCCAAAATTAAAGACAATATTTTGAAAATAAAAATAGACTCACTAATCAGTTCACAGTACTCAAAACTGATCAATTTGTCTTTAACCATATTAGTCAATCTGCATTTGAGGTGAATGCGAAAGGTTCTTCTCAAAAGAACAGTATGTTGTACTTGTATGAAAATGAAACCCAGAAATCTTAAATCTTTTCAGGAGGATAAGAATGCACTGTTACAGTACAGAAAATTTATAAGGAATGAAAACAGCTTGTTTGAGGGAAATTGATAGGCTTTTCAAGCGTATTTACCTGTACAAATAGTTTTGCCATGTGTTGTCTCTGACCTAGGTGGAAAGATGACATAAAGGCGGCGTTAATTACTTTGAATGGCAATATGCATTTTTATGTTTGCTCTAGTGATACAATATGTTTATGCTCAGGTGGAGATGTATATGACTGCAAATAAAACTGTTACTATACATCTAAATTTGGACAAGTGCCTAGATACAGGACTGCCTCTACATAAATTTTATGGTCAAGAGATTCTAAGGTTTTGTGAGGGACTACATTGGCAAAAGAGAGAGGAAATCTGGTTAGTCAGATACAGAAGTTAATGTAGGGCAGCTGGACATAATATATAGTGTCTCCCTTAGCTACCCAAAAAGTGAGCAGCTTTTCCATGTGTCTATTCCCCAGCTTAGCTGTAAATGGCCAAGTACCAGGTGAGTTTGGGACAATCAGGCTGTCTCTGTGTCAGTAGATCTCTGTGTGGGCTCTGCATATTAAAAGTTGGTGTCTGATTCACCTGAAGCAGATCTACCTCCCTTCAGTGGAGCCTCCCAGGTGCTCTCCATGCTCCTCAGCTTGCTATGTTGTAGCAGACTCGAGTAACCCTGACCAAGCAAGGTAGCAAGGCAGGGACTAGCTAGGTCTGAAAGGCAAAAGCAGCCCTTTCTCCTTATAGTGTACACCTGCAATTTTGACAAGGTAAAGCTGGTGCAAAAGAGACAAAGAGAAAAGTGCAACTAAATCTGCGCAAATAATTAAACAAGATTAAAATCAGTTTACTATTTTATTTGCAAGCAATTATTATCACTCAAGCTTAACTCATAGAATCATAGAATCAAAGAACTATTTAGGTTTGAAAAGACCTTTAAGATCATCGATTCCTAACGGTAAAGTAACACTGCCAAGACCACCACTAAACCATGTCCCTAAGCACAGCATCTACATGTCTTTTAAATACCTCCAAGTACTCAATCACTTCCCTGGGCAGCCTGTTCCAATGCTTGATAACCCTTTCAGTGAAGAAAATTTCCTAATATGCAATATATACCTCACCTGATGCAACATGAGGCCATTTCCTTTTGTTCTATGGCTAGTTACTTGGGAGAAAAGACCAACACCTGCCTCACTACAACCTCCTTTCAGGTAGCTGTAGAGAGCAATAAGGTCCCCCCTCAGCCTCCTCTTCTCCAGACTAAACAGCCCCAGCTACTTCAGCCGCTCCTCGTAAGACTTGTTCTGTAGACCCCTCACCAGCCTCGTTGCCCTTCTTTGGACAAGGTCCAACAAGTCAACTTCCTTCTTGTAGTGAGGGGCCCAAAACTAAACACAGTACTCGAGGTGGGGCCTCACCAGTGTCGAGTACAGGGGCACGATCACTTCCCGACTCCTGCTGGCCACACTATTCCTGATCTAAGCCAGGATGCCGTTGGCCTTCTTGGCCACCTGGGCACACTGTTTGCCCGCCTTCAGCCAGCTGTCAACCAGAACCCCCAAGTCCTTTTCCACCGGGCAGCTTTCCAGCTACTCCTCCCCAAGCCTGTAGCGTTGCATCGGGTTGTTGTGACACAGGACCCAGGACTTGGTCTTGTTGAACCTCATACAATTCGACTTAGCCCATCAATCCAGCCTGTCCAGATCCCTCTATAGAGCCTTCCTACCCTCAAGCCCTCCACAGGAGATATCCAGGCTTATTTTTTTGCCTTAATTTTTTGTACGTAATGAATGACGAACAAGAAACTCCAAGAATATATAGTTCAAGCTCAGTTCTGTTCCTGGTGCAACAAGATTACTTCTGTGTCTGTGCCTAAACAGAGCTGTGTTTCTAGATAAGGTTGTTCTTTGTAAGCCAGGGGAATGGTTTAGAATAACAAATCATTGGTAATCTTCTAGCTCTAGCTAACTAAAGCTGGTTTTATATTTCCATTCATGTTACTGTAAATGTGATTATCACAGGTAAAGAGCTACACGGTATAAGTATGTGTCAATTGTCCAAATCTGGAGCTTGCAACTTTACCATTGACACCATTTTCACATTTCTAGTTGTGAGATTGGTGTTCTTTTTCTAATGGAAATGCTAGCATAAATTCAGTATCATATTAAATGTTGTGCGAACAGAGGAATTACCTGGTACTGCTCAGTGACATATAACACAAAGTTAGAGGCACAAATATTGCTTGATTTTCAGCAAACTAGCTTTCAACAAACCCAAGCCTTAGATCGCATTTATCTCCAGTTAGCAGAAAGAAATTCATCATTCTTTTCTATTTTCTTTTATGGGCACTTAAGTGGATCTTGCACTTTAACTCTAAAGCTACAAATTGCAACCTACAAACTGGTTACTATTTGTATTTCTCTATGTTCACGGCAATGATCAAGCTAATGTTGATCTTGGCTTTTTCATGGACTGGCGGCACTGCAGCATGTTTTTCAAGGATGTTTTCTGCTGCCTACAGATAAATAGTTACAAAGACATTCAGCTTCACTGAGGACCACTTCTATCAGTCTTTGAAAACATTATACTGAGTGTATTTTGTACCATTTCCCAGTAAGCTCACAAAGAATCCAGCTGCAGAAGGTTAGGCTTCACATAGATGTGATATTTGCTGTGTATTACTTAGTGGAAAGAATATGACAGCTAAGATAAAAGATATGAAACTCCCATGGTTTATACTTTCTAAAAAGCAAATCTGAAGGTGGGCTGTGGAATACTTCAAGGATTGCAGATGGATACTCTTCTGAGGAGGTGCAGAATACTCATAGTCTCCAAGAGACCTTCCCTCTCCAGAGGAACATGTCCTAGAAACAAACAGCACCAGACTGTGAACCGTACAAATGCTGCTGCTAATATGGTGCAAGTCAACACAGATTTTAGGTTTTTAAGAGTGAAATTCTGGAGAATTTTCATTTCTCCTACTGCTAAAGCAAGTAGTAATCAAAGCAACTGGAAGTTTAAATGATCCCAACGGTCAGGAGAGTACCCATTGTGCAGAGGGGTGGTATTCATTGCAGAATATCGGCCTTAGAGACTAAAGAGACAGAAGTGATGATGCAGATATTTTGCCAGCTTCTGCTGAGGAATGGATTTTGCTCAAGATAAACAAACAACTGGACAAAAATGGTGGTTTAGCTCACCCTGAGTAAGTCTCAGATAATTCAGTTTGGTGGTCTCTATACTTCGACCAGCTGAATGCTTATGGTTTGGAAAATCTTCAAAATGGGGAAAAATTATTTGAGAACTACTATGTGCAAGAAAATGCTGTAATAAAACAAGGATTATCCTGATTTGGATATTTAGCATATATATATGCAAAGCAGGGCTGGAATAACCCACAGTGATAATAGGGGTTGCAAAGCAGCACCAACCGTGTCTTTGTCCCATGACACAGAGCACTTTGTGCATTGGGTCGTGCTGGTGGAAGACTATAGCCTCTGTAGAGTCTATCAGCAAATCAGTCTTTGTATCACAGATGTAAAAAACGACTGTGTAAAGCACATTTGTGTCTGTCTTGTAGCGATTCCCGTGTCAGCACATTACTTCTTGCTCAGCCGTTGTCTGTTTTTTTTTCATGCCTATGGAAATCTGCTTTGAAATACTTCCACTGATTTTTCACTCAATTATTCTGGTAATTGGCTCTCCGAAGTGGTACACCGCCAAAATCTCCGTGCCACATATCATACTTGTCAGTTTTTACTGTGTGCTCCATATCAATACCTCCTGTTTGGTTCTTTTGAGACCGAGCCACATTGCTATCACTTTACCTCTACGTCTTAACACCTTCTTCCAGCAAGTTAGAAAGAGAGAGGGGTTCGGGGTGAAGAAGGGAGAATGTGAGGGAGGGGAATATATTTCATTCTTCAGTGCAGCTTTGCAGCCTGCAGTGCTGCAAAATAAACAAAAGTATTTTTATGGCACCACCTGCAGCACACAGCTGTATGGAACTGAACAGAACTGCTAAGGGTGTGATTTGTTGTGCTTTGTGTGAAACCCTGGGGTCTGGGAAAAAGTGTGGGGAAGGTATTTCTATGCAACAACTCCCTCTATTCCCACCCTCCACAATTCTTGGTGAATATTGTAGCTGAATCTGTAAAGGTGAGATCTTAGCTTCATTGCACTTTGACAGCAACAGTTATGTATTTAATGCTGTGTGGGTACTTCAAGAAAAAATGCGTAGTTTTGGCCACAGCTAATTCATTTGTTATGTTGCACAAAGCTAGCCCTTAAGGCAGCCTGTGCTCATACACTGGGCGAAATTCTCCACTTGACTCTTCTCTCCCAGCGAAGTCCCATTTACAGAGCTATGATATCTTGAGCACCTGGACCATCCACTGTGCTCTGCAAGGACCATAGCTCTGCCTGTCCTTGG